ATAGCCCACTCTAATGTAATTTTTTTCATTATACTCTACTAAAGATGCCAAAGTAGCAGAGTTTATAATATTAAAAAAAATATTATCCCAAGTTTTGTTTTTGCGTATATCGGCAGCACTAAATGAGCACTAAATTATTATCTCATATCATTAGGTGATAATCCACTTGGATGTCAATTTGTTCATTACATACTATGCTAAAGATGTCAAAGTAGCAGAATTTATGATATTAAAAAAAATATATTTGTTTCCCAATATTTGTTTTTGCGTATTAAGCGGTTATCGTTTTAATAGGTAGAGCACTGCTAGCTTAATTAAAAGCTAGCAGTTTTCTAATTTTTGATCAAGCTATTTTGGCGTGAAATTTAAATTTGCAGCACTAAATTAGCACTAAATGAGCACTAAATATTTAGCAAAAACTTAAGTGATTTTGCCCAAATGACCATTCCAACTTAACAGACCTGGTGCTCTCTCTATTCCCTCACTCTCATAGCCCGGTGTGTCGGTAATCCAACACGAATGGAAAGAGATCAAGCGCAGGACCAACGGCTTTACATGCTTTCCGAGGCGCGAGGGTGAAACACCGCCAATTTGCTGACGCCGGGCTATTAAAGAGATTTTTTTTTTATTTATTTAAAACTTCATATACACATGTGATACATAGGCGGACTTAATGCCTAAGTCATTCTCTACCAGACTACCTTGGGATGATGCAGAGATAGAATGAAGTAGGTGTAATAAAAAGTTAATATGCCAATACTAAACTAAAATAACAAAAAACAATTGTAGCACATGGAAATAAAATACATAATATACATAATATATATATAAAATATATATAAACTATTACTATGATGATTCTGCCAATTTATTAATTAAGTATTGCCGAACTTTCATCTTGAACGCGTAACGATTGCTAGCCGTCCTGATTTCGAGAGGTAGTGCGTTCCAAACGAGAATAGATTGAATGTGGAAAGAAGAATGAACAAGTCCAGAGCTATGGCAGGGACATAGGAGAATAAGGTTGTTCGTAGAGCGGAGGTTTCTCTCATAACAAGCGCTAAGCAAATGAAAGTAAGGAGATAAGTAGGAAGAGGAAGTTGGAGACATCAGGATAGATTAAAGGGTAGTGAGTGCACGCAAACTACGGCGTTGACGAATAGGTAACCATTTTAATTGAGATCGATACGTGGATACATGGTCATACTTTCGAAGATTGAAAATGAATCGGATGCAGTTATTCAGAAGACGGTCATATTTATTGAGAAGATCTGCATTCAGGTCGAACTTTGCACAAGCATTGCTTTGATTGCAAAATGTAGAAATTTTTTAGGCGATAGAGAGAACGCAGGGAACCGGTAACTTTCTGGCTAACGGTCATTGCTTGGTCTTTCCAACTCAAGGTAGAATCAATTAATAAACCTAGATCCTTCACAGTAGAACGCAATTCAATCTCAGTACTATTAAAAAAGATAGGAGGTAGAGCTACTGTTTTCAATCTATGAATCATCCGATGGCTACCAATTATTATGGCCAGACACTTCGAAGGGTTGACCATTAGGCCAAACCTGTTAGACCAGTTCTTAATATACTCAAGGTCCCTGTTAATTAGAATTACTTGACAGAAAAAATCAATAACTGATTTTGGCCCAACCCGGGATTCGAACCCAGATCCACATGTTCAGCAGTCGCGTTTACGACTACTAAATCAAAGTCAACACTCGGAAACAAGGTATTTTATGGCTGCAGCACGAAAGGGTCAGCTCGTACGAGGAAGAACCATGCTGGCATAGAATACCTACGTAAAATAGAACAATTTTTTTCTTTTATAGAATAAAAGTAACAAACGAGCACACAGTCCACTTGATAGTAAGTGGTTGCTGTGGCCCATAGACATCTACATTTATCCTCAATAAAGAATCAAAATACAGATGCGTTGTTATCCGTGAGGACTAAGAAGGAATGCCTCTTTTCCAGTAAAATGGGTCTCTGGTTCTCTACACTCACCATACTAAACACAGCCGTGTCAAGCTGCCATTTTACGCTGGTATTCTGTGAAAGCGTGGTCCTTCGCCAGTCGAGCCGACCCATTCGTGCTACAACTATACTACTAATATATCTGCAGCATGGCTCTACTACTTACAAAATTAATGCTGCCTCATGACGAATGACGACAACCGGAGACCTCGCAAAGAATATTTTGAATACCTACAGAAATAAGTAAAAGTTGTTAACGGTGGTTATTTAAAATTATTTCCGTCTAGATTTCTGCTTCCTAGCGTCAGTTATATAAGGACGTAAAAGTTTTACATAATATCAGAACTCGTTATGGTAACCATTAATGTCCATCCTATATCTACGAGTGATGTTATGTAATTTTACTAGAAAAACGTAAATGCATTATGGCGAACTTCACGTATCCCCATTATAGTTTTTTTTTTAATTTCGCAAGGAAGTCCTCCGCGAACGCATTAAGTTCATTTGTCATTATTTTGTTTTAAATTTTTGGATATACAGCTTTTTTTCACGCATTCCATTACCACTGAGCGTGTAATAAAATTGCAATTAACAATTTCATTTCTGCCGTTGGTAATCAAACTCGATTCGCTCGTACTGAGCGTTTTTAGTTTAATCAAAACTAAATTAAGTAGTGGATACTTCGAGTTAAAAAATGAAGCGTGATGAAGACCAGACACTAAGTTTAATGACGATTAATTATAACTAATGTTGGAAGCCAACCCTTATCAAACAATCAAGAAATTACCTCGTAGTTTGACGTTCATTTACCCACAATAATGATACATTTGCACCAAATTGGTAGTAACAAACACTACGGAAATATATTTTTTTTATAGGAGAGGGGGCAAACGAGCATGCGGCTCACCTGATGGTAAGTGACTACCGCCGCCCATGAACAACCGCAACACCAGGGGAATTGCAGATGCGTTGCCGGCCTTTTAAAAAGGAGTTCTTGAAGGTCCCTAAGTCGTATCGGTCCGGAAAAACCGAAGTTGTGCGAGGAAGAAAACATCTTCTAAATCGCACAGTGGTGGACCGCCAATCATCCAGATGGTGTGGATGGTATTGGGAGTTCTGCCACGATGTACGTTCGTGAAATTTGGCGGCTGGGATTAATCCGAACAATTCCTCAGAGCACTCCCCATGGTAAATGCGAAAGAAAATGCAAAGAGATGCAACATCTCTTCGCAGTGCCAATGAGTCGAGCCGATCGGAAAGGACTCGGTGGTCGACGATTCGAGCCGCTCTGCCCTGGATGCGGTCAAGTGGAAGGAGCTGGCACTGGGGAGCCCCAGCCCAGAGATGGGAACAGTATTCCATGTGAGGCCGAATCTGCACCTTGTAAAGTTGCAGGCGTTGAGCTGGCATGAAATACTGTCCCGCTCTGCTGAGCACGCCAAGCTTTTTAGAGGCCAATTTGGCCTTCTCTTCCAAGTGACCACGAAACTGCACGCCACTCGATATGTCGACGCCGAGGATTCCGATACTGGCTGAGGCAACAAGGGGAGTACCTTGAAACTGAGGAGATACGACAAAGGGGTTCTTTTTAGCGGTAAACACGCAAACTTGTGTCTTCTGAGGATTAAACTGGACTAGATTTAGTCGCCCCCAATCCGAGACTTTGTCCAGCAAAGACTCGACTTCAGACACAAGTTTGTTCCGGTACTCGGTGACGTTTTCCAGAGAAATATTGGCACGGCCGGTGTATAGAGCATCACCAGTGCTGTCACCCGCATAGCAATGAATGCTACCGTCTTGCAACATATCATTGATATGCAGAATTGATATGATATGTACCTTGAAGAATTGATATATACCTTATAATTTAACTGAAGTGCATAGAAGCAAAACAACGTTTTAAGCTTGCCATTTTCTTTTTTTGGGATATTGGACGGAATTATTGTAACCTGTTATAACGCAAGACCTCACACTGATCGACAAAGCGTTTAACATTACAAGACCTGCAGTTAGAAACCATATGTCATCCTTCATACTCGCCAGACTGCCCAAATGATAACCATTTTTTCCGCAATTTGGACAATTTCTTGCAACAGAATGTTTCAATATGTGTTCTTAAGAAGCGGTACCTTAAGCCTTCATAGACTATTTTGAGTCCACATCTCTAGCATTCTATCGCAAAAGCATTAAAAATATCTTCCCTCGAGGTGGAAAAAATGTGAAATACTTCGATTTAATAAATATATTCTTTTAGAAAAACAAATGTGTTAAATTTCTTTATTAGAAACGGAATTTCATAATTTCACCCCTAACATTATGACTGCAAAATTGTAGTATATACCATAATCGGTGGTAAATATTCTCGTTCGTAAAACTATTTTTTTATAATACTTAAAATATATACTATCTGAACCGATGGTAAGTTTTGAATGTAGCCTGATGGTAAAGCGCACTGACTTATCGTAACAAACATCTACTCTTAGCTTGAAGACGCCAACATAACGTAATCTTTATTAAATTTGTAATGACAAACAAACTTAAAGGTAAGTGGCTACTGCAGACCCTGGACACCTATCTATCAGCTCAGATTCTGAGGAACACGAAAAAATAAATCACAACCTGTAATTATGCTAGTTATCTATACGCTCAAACCTCGCTCAAACCGGTACACAACAGTTCAGGCACCGTTGTTTCATATAAAAAAGTCAGACATTAGGCCAGAATCTGGAGTATTATCAGATTATCATGATGATGATGCTGCCCTTCTCGAGGTATATTTCATAATGAGAGACAAACATAATGAGGTATATGTCACTCATTATAAAATATATTTCACTCTCATTAGAGTAGATCGGTAGAATACAATTTATAATAATAAAATCATTTATTGTAATATTTATAAATACAAAAATAAAAATTCGACCATTTATAGGAGTCTGCGCACAAAACCTTAGCGTTCTAGTATCTATTTTATTTATATGTATAATAATTTTATATTTAAGAAAAAATATAAGACAACTTACCTTTATTTTATCGTAAGTGTTATCTAATTCCAACTTGTGGACGAAAGGGTTCAATATTTCGGCGCGCATGCCGTCAGACGAGAAAGCGCCAGTTTCACTATGCAATTTGCCATTCATTTTCACAACGAACACTATTACTAATTTTAACGACCGATATACATTACTGTCTACACTTTTAGATTTCTTTTTATCCACGAAAAATAAATTTTCTAGGTACGCTGCAATTTTAAGCGTATTACGAATTACGAACTATTTTATAAAAATAAATGGCGACAAGGTATACACTCTCACTGCTCGAAAAACAATACAAGACTGCCCATAGACAAATACAGTTACGCCAAAAAAACAGAACAATAGCAGTGTTTCCAGCGACAAATTCTTAGATTACCGCGCTCGGAAAGGCAAGAAAGATTATTTTTGGATGTTTTGTAGAAAGCAAAAAAGCATGTAGATACATTATAATGCCTGTGACCTGGAGTTGCTGAATCCATTCTATGAGGCAATCTAAGGAGTAGGCCTATGTTCCGCTTTATCCTATGACCTTGATATGTTGAAATCATCATGAATTATGACCACAATTTATCAATAGTTTTGTTGGTTAGTACAATAACATTTCATTTTGTACATAAAAAAATGTGTATGTGTACTTATTTTAATGTACGCACGTAGGAAGTTGTACTTCTTTAGCATAACAAAACAAAAATAACTAAAAATAACTACCTTAAATATAGTTATCAGTTTCCACGAAAACTTGAAAGACTGTTACCCAATGAAGTTGTCGCTTTGAGGTGTCAGTGTGAGCGCGCATCGTAACAACTTCATGGTGTCGTTTTTAGCTGCCAAATTCATTCTCATATTTTTTCCCAAACGCCCCAAAAGAAGTATAACTTCAAATAAGAAGGCAATAGTCTAGTTATATACCTGTTAAGCTCAAATAACTGACAGCCGATAGGGAAGAAAGGTTGTTGAGTGGGAGGCTCGTACTGGCTAGCACAGTGTTGTGTGACACTCCATGGCAACTGAAATTGTATGCACGTTATAATAATTTTACAACTGGCAATATTTACAATTTACATTTATTGACATTTAATTAATAGTAATTAGCTTAGTATAATTATACGTTTTCCTAATTGCATATCACTTCTTTAAAACATTTTTAATGAATGGTAAATATTGATATCAAAATTGATTATTATTGATAATTTAGAATTTTGCTTCGAAATCCAAATCATTCTTTATTAACCCATTCGCTATCTCGTGTACTATATACTCGCATATTTCACTGCTATTGTCTTACTATTGTGTCTGAAAATCGGGCAGTGAAAGTGTAATTTTGATTTATTAATATCGTATTTGGTTGGTATTGCATAGGACTTAGGTTGTTAGACATTTAATAGTGTTGAAAATATTTCACAAGACAAATCCATTATTTCTATATTTTTTCCCTTTCGTCTCTTTTCTACATTCTCTTGTTTGTTAAATTTCGTTTTTTTTTATTTGTTTATTCTCTTAAACTCTGTTTACGTTGTGTCGTGCTAATTTAATATTATTTTTGTAGATATGTATAACAGTACTAGTTAGATAATTAATCACGATATTTAAAAATTGTTATTTAGTTTAAGCCACAATATGTAATTGTTTATTAATGTCCTTGGTGGCAAAACAATTAATGTTAAAAAGTCTTGATCAACCTTCGTATATTTTGGTGGCAATCGATTCTGTATTCTTTCCGGTAACATATATCCATATTTTCCATAAATCAATGTCAAATGGAAACCTGAAAACGTACATTGTTATTTATCAACGGATATTTTAATTAACTGATAACACTAGTTTCTAAGGTTATGCCAGATGTTTTTCAATAAAATTGGTTTTAAACAACTAAGTACTGTACAACTAAGTCGGTTCTATTAGTAATAAATTAATATTAATTAAAAGTCTCAGAATATTTAAATAATATGGTTTTCTTTCACTGCTTTTATATTTTTATAGGAACAGAGTGATAAACGAGCACACAGTCCAGCTAATGGTAAGTGGTTGCTGTAGCCATTAGACATCTACATCTATCCTCACAGACGAATCAAAATGCAGATGCGTTGACACCCGTGAGGACTAAGATGGAATGCCTCGTTTCCAGTAAAAACAGTCTCCGGTTCTCTACACTCACCCTACGAAACACAGTAGCGTTAAACTACTATTTTACGCTGGTATTCCGTGAGAGTGTGGTTCTTCCCAGGTCGAGCCAACCCATTCGTGCTTCAATACTATACTACTAATATAGCTGCAGCATGGCTCTACCACGTTAAAATTATAAATAATAATTACATAATAAAATGCTAAAACTGTCAAATACACACTTCTGACTTTAATTTTAACAATTTATTATAAACAATTTATTATAAAATCCTACAGAGTAAAATAAAAAAAAAACGTTACAAATACACTAATCATTTTATTCATTCTTTTGCTTGACCCAAAGCTATAAAATGTTGGCATTAGACCAGCATAAAAGTCATAGACATAGAGAGAATGTACTGTACGTTCCGTATTCAGTTGTGTAGTGAATACAGACCGAAAAGTGCGAGAGAGACAAAGCAAATATACGGCTAGTAGGCCGCACAATCACTTTGTTTTTTAAGGTTCTTTCTAGAATTCTGATTGGTCCACATGACTGGCTTTCAGGACGTAGACCAATCAGGCTTGCAGAAAAGAGACAGGTATTGGCTGCACAGTTGTTTTGTCTCTTTCTAGAGAAGGGCCACTTTGTGAGGCTTAGCTCAGTTCATCTCTTTATGTCTATGATAAAAGTGGACACGGAGTTAAGGACACAAAGAAATATCGGTGACTTTTTCATATCCGTACCGTAGTGTATCCATTCATCCTTTTAATTAACAACACCGTTGCCAGTGTAGATGTATTAGGTTTATGGGTTTAGTTGATACCCATTTCCCTAGTTTTCCAATATATTCCCAATTTTCCCAATATATATGATTGGTTGGGTAGTTTTGTCGCCGACTGATAGTTGCTCCTGTTATATTGTTTAAATAATAGCTTGATGAGGATTTTGATACGTAAAAGTAGTTTAATTTTGTGTATTAAACCTCTACCCATGATAACTGTTAGTGAATATGATGTAATAAGTGCTTCGATGGTGATACAAATGTCAGGATTTCTTTATCCGATAATAGACCTTGAGATATAATCAAAGTCAACCATCCGCTGAGTATAGCTATTACCAAAACCTCCCAAAAACTTCGCAATGTGATGCTGCAGCATATTATTATAAAGAATTTTGTAAATAAAATTAAAACCACAAGTGGCAGTATGCTATCAGACTTTTGCCTGCTCTAACTAGTGAGTTGTAGCTACAAACAACAATATTTGGCTTGATTTGTTGTCAATGTCAATGTCGTTTTTTTGGCGGGAACTTGATCGGCGGCGGTTTGCTGCTCCTGTATTATAGTTTAAATAATAGTATGAAGTGGATTTTGGTATTTCAAAATGGTGCGATTTTATGTATTAACTGTCTACACATGTGAACTATTAGTGGAAACGGTGAAACAAGTGCTCTGATGGTGATGGATTCTCAAGATAAGCAGTTTGTTTGCATAGGCGCCTTTAGATACCATCGCCAACTGTCAGCTGCCTGCTGGCTCAAGTTGCCGTCAAAATCTCCCAAGGGCTGCACAATGTGACGCATCAACATATTGTGAAGCAGTGAACTATGAAGGATAATTATACATAAAGACAAGACTGTATGGCTTAGTTCCTTTGTCTACTCTCTCGAGCGAATAATAAAAACAACAACAATGTCAATGTCATTTTACTGCAAACCAGTGTTGCCATATATACAGATTTCTCCGTATTTATACAGATTTTCGGTGTGTAATACAGATTAGCACTGGATACAGATTTTTATACAGAGTTTTCTAACTCAACTGATTAAATTACCATAATATTCAACTTAAAACAGAATGAAGTAAAATATATGACTAGATACCGCGTAACACACGTCATTGCATAATTCTATTCTTTATAGTTATTTTTTTTTTCACTACGTAATTAGTAGTTTTGTGCCTGCTCAATCATTTTAAATATTGCTCCGTACTAGTTCATCACGGACAGTGAACTAGTTCGTTCTATTAGCTCTATTCGGTCATGAGCACTACTAAGCAGTTTAAACTGTATCTATCTGTAAAATCTGTATGGAATGGTTATCTCAGTCAGTGAGTCTCAATCTCCGTCGTTCAATATCTGCTCGAATCGTAATGTTGTATTATAACTCTTACATACACACTTGATAATTTCTTGGTCAAAATAAAAGTCTAAACCAAATTAGTGTTGAAAAAAATAATTAACGTATATTAAATGAAGTCCCATATCCATAACATGAAAAAATAAAAAGCATCCAAGGATGCAGTTCATATTAAAACAATAATAAAAGCACAAAAATACATGTCAAGAATTGTTATAACAGAAGTTCAATTTTATTATATTTTACGCGATAGCAAGTGTCGAAACGAAGTTTAGCAAATGTTTGTTTGTATCTATTTATTGAATATAATAAATAAAATAATTTGCAAGCACAACGAGTCTAGCATCTATCCGGATGATAAGCTAAATTAGACCTTATCGCATTAATATACCTAACAAGTATTTTTCTATGAAGTCTCATTTTAACGAATTTGATCAACGGTACCAAAATGGATAATTAAACCTTATCACGTTAGTATTTATCCCTTGTTTTTCAAAAGAAGCAATGATGATGATGATCAATAATTCTATTTTAGTTTATTTAATTATACAGATTTTATACAGATTTTAAGTTAAAATAGCATACAGATTTAATACAGATTTTAGCAGTTTCTACTACAGATAAAAGGTTCGGGGCGTCTGGCAACACTGCTGCAAACCAAAGACTACAATGCTGCAAACTCTTCTGTAAAAATATCAGGCCCGTGACAGCTTAGTTCCATTCTATGCAACTTGGCGCTACCGTCGCAATTTGTTCTCTGGCTACGGACGCCATTTTAAAACGCCATATTGTGTTAATGTCAAATCAAATTGACAAAATTCAAAATTATCGATATTGATTCTGAGTTTAGCGCAAATGTATT